CAGAAGCTGCAAGTTCAAGCATGGGATGAGCAAGACGTGATGGATCCATTTGTGTTTTAGGTATCGGACTTTGAGTTGGTGTTTCATAATCATCCTCAGGAATGATTATCATGGGGGAACATGAAATGTCTTGCGATTGTAATGACCCTTGGGACGAAGAGGTTGGTGTCAATTTTGGAGACCCAGGGTGTTGTGTTTCAGACGTTTCAGGCTGTGGTTTTTGAGAAGTATTTTTTATGTTTTCTGTTTTAGTTTGTGCTTTGTTAGACCGTAGATTTTTGTTGACGCTTGTGGTGGGAGGAGATTTTTGTGCCTTATTTTTCAGGAATAGTGATTTCGAGTCTTTAAGATTGGCTGCCTCGCAGCTGGGATTGGTCGTTGGAGTTTTGTTTTTTGTAGCCATATTTTAAAAAAAAGGATAAAAGTTCGCTCTCCGTGTTCCCCACCCTCCTCGGAGTCCGCAAATGGGGAGTTTGCACTGCAAACCCAGGGCTACACTTTGAGTATAGTGCCAGGAGAAGTAAGAAGAAAGAAGTGAAAGAATAGGAAGAAAGAAGAATATAAAAAGCTACGAAGTTTCAGATCGCGACGGTTGGAGCAAGTGCAGCGAGCGTGACGACCATTCACACTGCTGCCGAGCCCGCCGTCTGCCTGATCCTTCGCACCCGACACTCACCTGACTACCAGCCTACTAGTAGCCGCAGCCGATTGATTGGAGCTGGCTAGACTCCAACCTCCCGTTTTATCCGAATTTGAGGCCAAAGTTGCGTGTTGACCAATACGAAGACGCGCAATAAATTGCGGCGAACTGACCTTCTTCGATCGGTCTCAGCTTCCAGGATCCTCTCCTCCGTCATTACGGGTCTCCACGCACGGCACAAACACGTGGGTAACTTTGTATAGAAATTTCGGGTAAAGCTACAAAACCCCCTCCACGTCGAGAAAGGATATCCCGCCTTTCCTCGGGCGCCAGAGCCTCGTCAGTAGCAGCAGGGTGCACCACGTGCAGGTGAGGTTGACGTTTGGGGAAGCTAGATGGAGTGCGCTCCCCCCTTACACCCCCGTCTGTCTGAGTTATAGTAACATAAATTAACCACTAGTTACGCCCTACCGGCTTATTGGACGGAACCCCGCGGGGAAACCGCTCAAAACCACCATTATCTCACATAACTATGTGGGTACAATATTCGGATGATGGAGAAAAGTTGTCCCAAGTATCTAATCTATCCTGTGACCGAAATTTTGGACCATATAACGGTGCTTCAGTTCTATTGCAGTGTAAAGTATATTTTAGGCAGTTTTGAATCGTCCATTTTAAACTCAGAAATTGAGCTTTAGTTGCAAAGTTTCAGTTAATCGTTCTGTCCGGGCTTTTCGATCTTAAGAACAGGGAAGAGAGTTACTATTTAGTTTTGATTTTTTACGTAGTATCAGAATTTAAATTACGATAAGTAAGACGCCTTCTCAAACATGCTTAGAAAAACTGTGTATAAATAAAGAAAATATCCGATAGACTGAAGATTAACATTTCAAAGCACGGAATGATTATTTTTGGATAACGCAGTTGGTTCGAACCTGCTATGTATTTTTAAGTAAAAACATTATATTTTGTGTATGTTCAGTACATCGCAAATTATGTTCGCCACACAGTTCGCTATACTCTTGAGACATCCTGTGTTGCCAATACCCCGTTACCGGTTTCGGTGGTCGTGGCAGGTCATTCGGTCCCGTAGTTTATTGAAGGCTTAAACACGATCTTGGCGCATTTTATTGTGCTTACGTAACCGTGTTGAATCGCTTGGCAATTGAACGGTTTTATTGCTTAAGAGTTTTTAGTTATACCTGGCTTAGCTTAAAAATAAGTGTCATTACTGAGATTTGCGTGTATTTTTTGTTTTGTAAGAAAACAAACTTCTCGTGTTCTTGCAAAACTTATTTATTTTGCTTTCAGTTTATCTCCTACCGAAAAAATTTTCTATAATATTTTGGCTTCCAACTCAACACAAAACAGCTCTATATCAACCTAATTATGTTGTAAATATACGAAAAAGCAGCAAAGAAGCGGAATTTTTTGGAATCGTCTAAACAATAGAGTATTCTTACGACGTATAAAATAAAAATATGCGCGAACAAGGGCAGCGTCACGTCGCTCCGCGTTAGCATTTCTTTTGTGCACGACCCGAATTGCCCACATAAAACTCCCAGACCTATTTTGCTACGTGATGTCTTCAGTCCTTTTACTGCCTATATTGCCCGACATACTCTTATCAGGACCATTCTACTGAAAGAACGTCCCTCACCATTCTGCAAAAGTTGAATCGTAAAACATCAGTCGACGCGAAAAGAAATAATAAAGGCGCCCAACTTTCCCAGTCTCCTAATTAATGTTGCAAGGAGATATCGCAGGGAAAAGTTTTTTCATCACGTTCGGCAGAGGCGGTGTAATGAGCGCCCCCGCGGCGAAACGTCGTAAAAACACCATACAACTTAATAAATAAAACTGGAATTCTGGAAGATTTATCACGAGGCCTACATTGCGATTCGTGAGCGCGCCCCGGGGCGTGTTTCTCCGCGGATAAGACCCGCAGTAAAAACTAGAGATGCTCATATCGTAGCACCGCCTCTCACAAAAGCCGCGATATGAAATATTTTGACACTTCTTGGTAGACACCAAATGTTGGAAACAAGCGAGGCAATAGTTCGTAGAAATACGCTAATTTATTGCGCGCCCGACGCGTAGATTAGTTAAGATATCACGTAAATCCCACAAATTATGATGTTTCGGTTGGTTTTAAATGGCTGGAATTTATAAATCGATGAATTGCAGGTGTCCTTATTGTGCCCGAATAAGCACGCCCAAAAAACAAAAAAAAATAGTAAGCAACTTGACGGTTTAGAGATTTTTTTGGCGTATCGCACGAAGTCAGAAAGCTGATCTAGCAAATATACGGCCATATACCTCCATCCTGAGCCCGAAATGTTTTAGCGTGTCGTTTAAAATTCTCTCCACGACGTAGATTCAGCCGGGGCTCAGGTGATATCGCAAGATACACGACGGTCCAAGTTTTATTGTTATACCCACTCTGCGAATTGAATTTGAAACAAGCGAGTGCCGGATCAATACACAGCCAGACGGCACAATGGATGTTTGCCTTGTACCTATTCTACGTATGGTATACGTAGGGATATCTACAGAGCGAACGCAGCGAAATTGGTTTTACGACGGTCTACAGCAGACACTGATTTGATTTACAGACATCTGATATTTCTTGAAATTTCGCAAATGTTACCTTTGTTGTCTATACTGTGTATTTATCGAAATACCAATCATGGTATAGGTCTATAAAATATTAGGCTCTGAACTGGTTCATTACCTAATGCCATGGATGAAACTTTCCCTTGTCCTCTTTATGAACAAAACTCTTGATTACATTTTACAGAAAGAATAGGCCCTTTAAAGAGCACGTCCTTGTCCTTATTCACAATCCCAGAGCCTTCCTTCTTTTAATTACAAATCTCATTTACAAAAAGAGAGTCCAATTTTAATTTTGTTTTAGAGCCGCCAGGGTCGGCTTACAGGGTCGGCATTATCTCCGCGTTTTATCTCCTATGTAATCTTGTTAAGAGGCCCGCGCCCGGCCCTCTGGGAGGGCAATAAGCTGAATCCCGGGTTTGGGCAAAGTCACTAAGCCAGCCTAAGCCACGCATTACGACGGTATTCTTAGCAAAATTAGTTTATGTACGCCTATACAAACAGTAAGTACGGCACGGAGTAATATTCAGTGTGGTTTGTTGTTTCAGTGTACGTGTAAATGTAAATGTGAATTTCAGAGTTTGAGGTAGTCTGAAGTTCACACAATCTACATGAAATAATTTGAAAAGCTTGGTGCTCTTCAGTTGCTATTTAGAACTATTTAAGAAGCTACAGTGTTCATTGGTAGATTTCTACTTTTAAAGATGATGATTTCAGTCACATTAAGCCTATGCGCAGACCATTGATTTTTCGTCGGCTGATAGTTTAGTTGGGCAGTTGATACAGTATGGGCATGTATGGAAGTGCGCACATTACGCCGATTCGATTTGGCCGATTCTTCATACATTTTAAAATCGGGTACAACTGTCGGCCAACTAAAAATCGATGGTCTGCGAATCTTCAAAAATACTATTTCAGTGGGCTTAGATTTATTCTCCAGGTAATTTTGAGCAAATCCTTAACGTTTTATGTCCAAAATTGTCATTGAAAAAAATACAAAGTCAAACCATCTTCTCTATGATGTATCCTGTCAAACAATACTCACCGTGGAAATCTTTTTACTCGATTAGTTTGTGGCTTTGGTACACGTTTTTTTTGGAAATTATCATGCCTTGGAACAGACTGCCCGACGTAGAGTCGTGTTGCGGCTGTGTGCCCGATTTGAAAACTGCAGCTGCTATTATTGCTGTACTAGGAATCGTTAGTATATGGTCTTTGATGTTCCATTCAGTAGTTAAATATAGGCTCATGAAGATACCTATTTGTGTGAGGATGTGCGAGTGGATACCTGGTATTGCGCGTCGGTGTCCTTTCATATTTGAATCAGAGCCAGAAGTTCCTTTAAATTCTGTGTTGTGCGGTACGATACAAAACCTATGTATTGATCACACTCATCTCCTGATGATATTGAATCATGAATCTTTTAAATCTCTAACCCATATCTAGNTATGGGTTAGAGATATGTCTTGTCTAGGCATTATTTAACGAACATGATTTTTTAAAACTAAAGCTATTCATATTTTAGTTCTGTACTGCAATATCATCATCTTCTTTATTTAATAAGTCACTGTTTTACCAATTTAATAATTACCATGCTATAAAGCATCTAATAATAATCTAGAGTACAATTGGGCAAAAAAAATATTTCAACAATATTTTCAAGAATTTCGTACAGCCTACAAGGAACTAAGCAGATTATAAAACATTACCAATGTATAAAATAACTTTAGGTACTTTATCATTTCAGGTCACAAGCCCGGCGGTGTCGTGGGCGGTCGTACGACACTCGTACGTGATACGTGTGTCGTGTCTGATAACCACGAGCTCGGAACGACCTGATGTGGTGGACGTCAACCTTAACAATGTCGTAAGTATAATAGCCCACGCTACGTCTTCCGCCTCGTGGTCGCCACTCAAGAAAGTTCCTGCCCCAGCGGCCATTAGCTCTACGAGCTATGTGCAGGACCGGCCTTAGTGGAAATCCTTGGGGGAGGCCTTTGTTCAGCAGTGGATGTCTTTCGGCTGAAACGAACGAACGAACGAAGTATAATAGCCACATATTTCTTAGCAAAGGCACACACTATAATCTTAAATATAGATGCACTTAAAGTAGATATTAGATTTAGAAGATTGTGCTCCTGCAGTGGAGACTAAATAACCTGAAGATGATAAATTAATGACAGCCATAATTTAGCAAAAATAAACAAATAATTTAATTATAATAATAAATATAATAATAATAAATCTTTGGACAATTTCACACAGCGCCAGCTAGCCCCAAAGTAAGCAACTTAATGCTTGTGTTATGGGTGCTAGCTTAACGGATATACTACTTATATACTACTTATATACTTCTTTTTTTAAATACATAAATATTATACATAGTCACACCCAGACCCGTCACAGAAATTAAAATTCATCATTTCAATTTCTGCCCGGCCGGGAATCGAACCCGGGACCTCTCGGCATAGTAGTCCGTTCTGAACCACTACACCAAACGGCCGAAAAATAATTATCTAATACGTTTTGTTGCAACTAAAGATAAAGGATTAGAATTTGAAGCTAGAGCGTAGAGCTGATGGCCGCTGGGGCAGAAAAGTTCTCGAGTGGCGACCACGAGTCGGAAGACATAGTGTGGGCATGGGCAGGCCTCCCACTGAGTGAACCGACGATCTGGTGAAGGTCGCGGGAATAACCGGTATGCAAGCAGCTTAGGACCGGAATATGTGGAAATTCTTGGAGGCTTTTGTCCAGCAATAGACGTTATTTGGCTGAAACGAACGAACTTATTAAAACACTAACAATACTAACGATTTTTTTGTTTTCAGCTAAGCTTCGGCTTCGGCGCAAACGCAGGTCTCGGGCCAACCTGCCTTAGCTTAAGTAAAACGCCAGATTCAACGCCCAAACCTACAATGGGGCCCGTATTTCGCTCCTCGGAGTCGGGCCCTAAATTTGTGAAGGCAGTCCGATATATCGGCTGGATTGTACTAGTGTCCGACCTCATTTTCCTGTTTTGCAGTATTTACTTACTCCTCAGAATATTTAGTGTAAGTTTTGAGTGTTATTATTATAAATGAAGTATTAAAGTAGCCAAGTTTTGATTGATTTGCAAAGAGATTTGCACCTATTTTAATTAGTAAACTCAGGCACTTCTGCTTTTAGATTCGGATTAATGTGTGTAATTTTAGTTTTAACAGTTTCAAAATGGCATATACTGTAACAGAGCTACGTACAGCAGTGGCCAAAATGTAGGCTAATGATTATTAAAAGCTCGACTGATTTTAGTAGCATAGATATCTTGAATTACGTTTAAATAATTTGTAACTTTTTCAGGGGCCATGCCAAAAAGCAGCAAAAATATTCCTAATAACAGCAATGATCGCAATGTTCCTATCATTCATCTACAGTATGATATACGTGTCAGCCTGTATCACTTTGGGGGGAGCGTTCCCAGTTTTTGAATTCTTATTCGCATTATTTGATTTAATGAGTAAGTATCTTCATATTCATAAAATAACTTTCTATGCATAAAATTAAAGTATGTTTTGAGACGGTATATTAGGGTAGACTGAGGTGAGTTGTAACAGAGAAGAGATGCGACTGTCGATTTTTTGGAACTTATTAACTACTAGCGAGCTCGTAACATGCGTGGCTTTTAGTTCAAGTCTCAAGCTAACAAATACGCGCTGTTGCGAGCTCGCTGATAAAATAGATCTTCAAAAATAGACAAAGTCACAACTCTCCTAAGTCTCCCCTAGGTACTTTGTAGTTACCGCACTATCGTATGCAATAATTTTATGTCATTTTTATAGATATTTTATACCTATCTTCTCGCTTTAAATATTTCACTTCTTTTAGCATTGCAAATTATAAGTTACGATGGTTTTCATGTAGGTTTATAGGTGTTTAAGTATTAATATTAAATTAATTTCAGAGTGGACAGTCTGGATCCACTTTTTGCTAGTAATTCGCGCTTATATTAACTCGTACTCGCCACTCGAGACACCGGCTCAACAAGACCGGGGGCCATGCCGTTGGCGGTGTAACTTTTTGTGAAATACTGACACTTTGGGCAGGCTTCCCTTCATCAATTTCTAGGTAGGACTGCCTACGACACCCGCTCCTCCCCTTCAATTTGCCATGTTGAAATTATGATTTTAAAATTATGTTGAATCAGCTGAAGCCAATTGATTTACAGTGCTGATGAACAATTGACTATCAGTTACCCAATACATATAAGACTTTCTCACACGGAAAACCAATCATTAAAGGTAGAGTCAAATTGAGTCTCACCTGATTTTAATAATGAATTGCAAAATATTGTGGTTTTCACTTCATTTTTTTCAATTTCAATTTTAATTCAATGGAATTTGTAACACATTGAAATTTTATTCAAAATAAATGGTAACTTGAAAGGGAGGAACATGATTTTGTTTACAATCTATTCCTACATTTTGTCATCTTTACTTTTTCTTTTCAGTATGGGCGTACTTTCTATTAGTTGTTAACTCCTATAGACGCAAGATTACAACCGCGTGATAAATTTAAGATAAGCTGAAGGATCAAATGAAATATGGACAATGGGGGAATTATGTATTTTAATAAGGCTGTATTGGTGAATTGTTTATTGCATTTTCCACGGAAACGTACATTTCTTATGCTGATATTGTTTTTAAATAGGTGCACGTGTTTATGCGTGTATTGTTTAGTGATAATTTTCCTCAGATAAGTATTTTCATTATATTTTTATGAATTAAGTATTTGTTTTTTTTTTCTTTGATCATTTTCTTTTCAGTTCTCATGAATTATGGAAAATCATTATCATTCTATTGATCTTAAGTTCTAGAACGTATTGCCACAAATTATGACCAAGGTGTAGAGTTAGGACGTGTAGTTAGAAGCTTGACTCTACATGAGATCTAATTTTACAGTACGGGTCATAACCGTGCGGTTCTTGGTAACATTTTACATGAAAATGTTTGGGTGGGATATCTACCCAAAAATAAAGCAGAAACAAAAATAAAACATAAGAAACCCAGACAAATCCCGCCTCACCTACCCAAAACATATTTTAGTCTTGGAAATGTTAATTAAAGCGTCCCGTAGTTTCGGTTAAAGATCCCGCCATCATTATGGGTCCGCATCAGCATAAATGTCACTGGATGCAAGATTTTAATTATCAAGGCACGGAGCCGACCCACCGCGGCCCTCGTAAAAGGGTTGGGATTCGAAATCAAATGATAAGGACGGGCCAAGCTGGTAGGCATGTAAGGGGTAAATTGGTTGCTTTGATGAGAGCCAAGTTTGTTGTGTTCTATTATAAATAGATCACTATGTCAGCATTACTTGTTTCAGTTGTCAAGAGCAGTAATGAAAGAACTTTAAAGAAGTCTGGGGAGTTTTTAGGCTTGATTCCGTCTCAACCGAATTCTATCCACTGCTGGACAAACCTTAGGCCTTCCCTATGGATTTCCACAACAATTAGACTAGTACCTGCCCGCATCCAAGTGCATCCCGCGATCTGATCATGGATTCACCGAGAGTGTAGGCAACACTACAATTTTCGGTCTGTGGTCGCCACTCGAGAACTTTTCTGCCTCCAACAGCCATCAGTTCTACGAGATACCTACATGCTATTTGTGATTTAGGGATAATGGGTAGTACTTATTATTATTCTGTGATAATGGTGAAAACAATATTACAAAAGGTATTTTGTCAGAACTTGGCCGGCGCACTACCGAGCTCTAAGATAAGGCAAAGTTCCCCTAATGAAGGCTCGTGTACTCGTACAACCCATTCTTGAACAAGTATTGTCTGATACAGGGTGTGTTTTATTGCAAACGGATGCCTGTTTATAACATTCCCGTTTGGCGTAGTAAAATAGGGTACCTTACACAGTTTAATTAATTTAAAAATGTTCTATGACATCACTTTAAAAGTGATCTACTCATATTGATACAGATGGGCAATCTTTCTTTACTGTGTCTTTTTTTTTTTAATCTTTAGCCATGAGTTTGACCCGAAGATCTTTCATGACGAAAACAGAATATAAATAGGTAAATACCTTCGCGAAAGGAACCTATTCGTTCCCCAACGGAGGCGTAAAAAGTATGTATCTAAAAAGTAAGTATAAAGAAAGTAACTTGGCTCCCTGATAGCGCATTTCTCCCGTGACACGGCAACGTTGGCCTTTATTACAGTCTTGCAAACATCCACATGCGTTCTATGTGGTTCTTATTGTACACTTAGTAAGGTTTAAAGTAAGTCCCCGAGATACACCATAAGTTGGTGCAATATAGTACGCTGAAGCACGTGACACGAAGAGCGATCATTCTTCGAATTCACCAAGGTATCTCCCTATTTTACTGAAAAATTTAGATAAAATCAAATAAAGTAGATACGTATCTTCGTATTACGAAGCAACGAGAATAAAACTAAGTTTAAAGAATAAATAATTGAATGGAAATAGTTTAGCCGAACCTTGAAGTAATTGAATTTCCATCACGAGCGTAATTTCCACCACTATCTCAAAATTATTTGGTGATCTAACGGAGATAAAATAAAATGAAAGTGGCAATCTCACAAGATAAAATTAAATTATAGACGATATACATAAGTATCACAGATCCTTTAGAATTCCTGTGGAAATAGAATAGAGAACCCTAAAATCCGTAGCATCATCTCACGCGTCTGGGGCGGATATTTTTACAGAGGGGACACCGAACTTGCTGAGCGATCTACACACGTATTATTTACAATACAAATACGAGTACACTATCATTTGATAGCTTACCAATCTGCTAATTCAATATTATTGAGACGTTAATGAAAGCATTTCAGTAATCATTGCTTTCTTCAAAATCATAACTTTTTCGAGGAAAACTATTTCCGAAAATGTGCAAGAAAAAAAAATAGGACATTGGCATAAGTATCTGTGAATTAATTATTGTTCAGATTATGTAAGATTACATTAGGTGAAAATTAAATTTCCACCTATTAACATAACGATAATAATATTGTTTATTAAGAAAGAGGTAGGCAATAGCTACATTCATAGGCATAATATAAGAATGGCATAAATCCAAAGCCTACTTAGTTAGGTATTCTATAATTATTATTTGAGGCAATGTAAGTTTTAAAAAAAGATAAACTACCTAATTAGAACCCAAATGGTAATAAAGTATATATTTAGACTCTCTACTGCTATGACAAATAAATAATTCTTTAAACAATCTTAGAATAAAATAGCTTGAGCTTTAATAGCCACAACAAAAGAACCCTTCTGACAATACTAAACTGTGCTCGCGTCACAGAGAGGGCTTGTTTTATAAGCGTTATGAATATTGCTCCAGGGACCCTCTCGGTGGCCTTTTATACAGAGTGTAAGTATAACAAAACTGAGTAGGTATGTAGAGGTAGGTATTCCCTGAAACTACGTGAAGGTGCTTCAAATTCGCGTACCTAAAACTACGTTTTTTAGTAGTTCTTCGTTCTTCGTTAGTTTAGTATCTAAGTAATTTGTGAAAGCCTTAAGCTTTCACAAATTACTTAGATACTAAACTACTCGTCTATTTGAAAATGGTTTAGTTTGTTAACACTGCAGTACACGCGCCCCTTTTTTTACACGAATACACGCGCGGCCTACTCTGGTAAGCCAATTTAAAATCACTGTAAATCAGTTTATAAGCAATTGGCTTTTGAGTAGACCCGTATTTTTGACGGCCAATTTTAGAAAAGTGCGCAGACTCTAGCGACCCAAGCTTTACTGGCTTACTGACAAATTTAGTAAACGAGGCTTTCCTGGAATGCCAGCTCTCTGGCGCAAGTTTTCAAAAAGTTATAGCGTAAAATGTTACCCTGGTCTACTATAGTAGTCCACGCGTGTACTCTAGTGTTAAGTGTTAGTTTGTAAAGAGTTATCTTTCGCTTTGAAAGCCCTGGGTCCAATTACAATTAAAAATACCTTTTTGAAGTCGATTAAATCTTACCAAAATAAGTACTTGTGACCATTAGAGCATTACAGGATATAATTAACATCTTCATTGAAGTTATGTACTTATAATTCCGTGCTACGAAATAGGCTCAAGATGCTGTTAGTTCGGGATAAGTCAACCGCTAATGGTGATTGCATTAGGTATCAGATAGGTAAGTATTTATTACACCCTGTATAGAAGATGAAATGAAGAATGAAATATTGTTTTATTTGTAGTAATTATTTAAGTATTTAGATGTGGTCTACAATAAAAAATATCTGATATAAAATTACATAACCAGCTTAATTTCTTGCTGCTACAAATAGTCATAATTTTATTATGGTACTAAATACAGTAATGTATTTTCATCAATTTAAAATGCCATATTTTGAGAAATAAAAATTACTTTTCTCTTTTCGTCACTACCGCCATCTGTGTTTGAAGCAGGTAAAGAGTCAAGCTTTCCCAAAGCGCATGCGTAAAAACAAAATGGCCGCCGATCAATACAGGGTTACCACCCTGCACCCACCCCCTGGCTTTGTCCTTTTAGCGATCTGCTAGGCCAAATTAGATTTTAGTGCCTTGGAATAAAAGTTAAACGAAACAATTGTGAGAGATAATGCCTATCTATAGCTTTTGTTTGGTATACCAACTAGCTTTGTAAGCATGGAGGAGGATTTCGACGGTAAGCAATAGAGGAGGTAAGCAGATAATATTGCGGTAAGATACCTACATACCATAGTAGGTATTGTTATAGCTGGTATGACTCTCTAAGTAATGAATTTGCACCAGTACTACATTATGTTCTACTAATGGCTCTACATTGAAAAAATTAAGAGCCTCATATTATCATAAGCTCAAGTATAAGTGTTGCCTGTACCTTAATAAACAAATAATTTCTTACGAACACAATTACTACTGAGCTATGAAGATCGCAGATACTTTTTTTTCTACGACGACAGTATTAAAAAATGTTATGCCTGAATTATAAAAGGTATTTTTTTCTAATCCACTCGATCAAATGCTTAAAATACATAACCTCTACTACATACAAGATGCGAAATGAAGTAAACACAAAAAGTTTTAAGAAAAAATTTAGTTAAAAATAAAAGATTAAAAGGGTTTTTTTAATGCGAAGCGAGAGCTACTACATTGCACAATGCTAGTGCCTCTATCCATCTCACTCACACGCCAAGGACTACTAGCAACAGTGACGAGACAGAGATATTTCAAAAAGGTAAGCTTAGAATTTTATATCGAACAATTTTGTAAGAAACTTGTAGGGTAAGTACTCGTAGAGCTATAGTATATCAATCTTGAGTTTGTTAGAACTGAAGTACCTATAGCTATCATACAAATGAAAAGAAAAATAAAGTTATAACTCATTATCCTAATGTAAGCCTACAATGAATGGCAAGTTTTTAGGAGTACCTAATTAATTTTTAAAGCTCTACCTACTCAGATAATTAATTTAAAAGCTAATTTATAAGGATACAAAAAGAAAATTCAGTTTTGCATTATGGTTTCTTAATAACGTAGACTCCTAACAGAGTTTCTACTTTGTGTGTCACACACAAAGTTATTTTGGGCTTTCAATATTATTTCAGGTTTCAGTAAAGGGCTTAAAGTTACCCATGAAAAACATACTATAGTCTATCCAATAAAGCTTGATTAGAATGACAGCTGCCATCAAAACTAACGACATAACTTTGTAGTAGCGATCAATGAGAGCTAAATATTGGCGGAC